TGGGTTAGGGCGGTCAGGGATGGAGGGGGGGGCCTTTACTGGCGCCCGGGGGCGAGGTCGTGCGTGGCTGGAGGGGAGGTAGCCCCTCCATGCAAAGATGTGCCCCAGTGCTGTGTCGGGGGGTGATTCCGGTCTCGCGGACGAGTCGGTGGCCGGGTGGGGCCTTTGCGGCGCGCGGGAGGGGGCGGCCCCTCGATCTTTGTTTTGTTTTGTTTTCTTCGCTGTGAAACTGAATAAAAATTTAAAAAATCGTAATTACCAGCGAAACGTCGTACTCAAATTTCAAATGATGTTGATTCACTCTTCAACACACCGGTGGGCTAAAGTAGTGAACTATTTGTCCTTTGTAAACGTAACACATTTTTTACTGTTTGGCCGTGTCGGGTGGTGAAGGGTTACGACACATTTATAAATAACGCGATCTAACCCAAAAACATGTATTATTAATAATATTGGTCGCGAAAGCCTACGTGTTAAACGGATATCTATTCTGTATTTTATTTTTGGACTAAATCTGAAAAATACAAAAGTCAGACGCAGTAGATACCTAATTTCAGATGATCCGAAAGTGTATTGTGGTTTGGATGTATCTAAAAGTGTGACATCATTGAAACTGACCCCACATGTCAGGTTGCATCTGTAAATATCACTTTCTGTGAAAGGGAAGACGCATAAAGTTAGTACATAATGTGAGAGATCAGAACATTCACGTCCAAAAAAATACAATATCGTCCTCAAGACATTGAAATATGATTTTAAAAATAATAATGTGAAACTCATCCCGAAAATATATATCTGTACAATTCACAGCAATTGGTTTAAAGGGGTTTACAATTTTACTGAAAACACGTGAATTATTCTCGGATGGACGGACTGACAAATGGACGTTAACTTTATCTGGCATTGTCATATGAACTGAAGAATGAAACCCAGTTGTTTATGAGCAGCTGTCTGGACAAAGAGAAACACTTCTCCTGTTAAAACGTCTAATTATGTATCTATCTTGTACATATCAAAATACATATCGCCCCCTGTATTACTGCAGTACGTATTCAAGATGATAATGCACCAAGCGATCCACCTTTGATTCCTTTCCATGGCTAACATTACCAACCCACACTGAGCAGTGTGGTGAAGCATGGTCAAAAACCGTTTTAATAACTCTTCACATGTATAAGGTGCCCTTAAGCTATAGATCTCAGAGCGCCGTTGCGTGTCAAGGGAAGAAATCAATAAGAAGCAACCGGTGAGAGAGAGAGAGACACGAAAGAGACGACAGAGCGAACTGGAGAGAGGATAGAGAGAAAGGGTAGGCTGTGTTTAACAGGTGGTGGGGCTCTTCAGATAGGACCTGAGTCTCCATCGACTGCGAGTTCCCCGGCCACCTGGAGTAGGGAATTCCAGGCGGTCACCGCCGGGTAGAAGCCTGGGGGCACGGTCGATGGATCTCGGAGATGAAACCCCCATATCTGACGTCCCACGGGCGAATTCTTCACCCAGCAGTCGATTGACAAAAGGGTTGCACACGTGCAGAAGAAAAAAATATATATGAAGATGACATAAGTGGACAAACAAAGAGTGTGGTGCGTTTATGAAAACGTAGTTTGATGATAAAAAAAATGTCAACGTCGATGAGTTAAAATGTTTTGAGCCGGTGCACGCTGCTCGCCGTGACATACGGATCGGAGCGCTTGGACGCTGCCAAAGGAAATGGAACAAAATCAGAGAGGTGTGCAGGAAGGCATGGGGAGATGCGCGCTTTTGCAATGTCACAGAGAGGTGGTAAGCAGCGGCGCTTGCATCAGGCCACGGACATTAAATGGGAGACCGTTGCCTGTCAAGGAGGGTTCAACGGGCTTGGGTCGAACACATCGTTCTCACGGACAGTGGCTTATGGTTGAGAATAACGGCGAAAAATTGCAGCCAGAGGAGAGAATTGTTCGACCACTGTTGAGGAGCGGCGATGGGAGATACAGTGAGCTCGATGGTGTCATCCCAGTACCGTAACGGATGGTGCCGGTGTTAGGAGGCCTGCATCCAGCAGTAGATAGGCCATGGCTGCTGCTGCTGCCGCTGCAAGTGTTGATGATGCTGAGACACTCAGGCATGTTTGTATTTATGTCTATGTGTAAGAGTAGAGATTGTCATTCAGAATTCTAGATTTGAAAGGTCAAACTTGCATCACATCACATTTTTTATGCATAGTTCCATAAATTTATAATATATAACTTCCATACTTCAGTAACACTGCTTTAGTCTGTTTTGTTCATTGTATGATGTAATAATATTTCAAATGTAAGTATACTCACCAAAATAAGGTATACTTTATTTTTTAGCAATTGCCTAAAACACCACCACATTCATCTTTTTTTTTACAAATATTGTGGCTGAGTGGCATGAGAAGCTTCTGTCTAAAGTTTTAAATGTTGATGTCAACATAAGACCATCCATCATATACACACATAAATATTCAATTGTAATACTTGATTGACAAATCAGTTCGTTTGCAGTTTCTAGACGGATTGCCGCACCACAGGTTTGTGAGAGGTGAATGGCAGTTTTAGGGGAGGCATTCAACCAGCAGTGGATTGATCATGGCAGATAATGATGATGATGATGGTGGTGAGAATAAAATATTGCACCTCGTAACAATCTTTTCACAAATAACCTCATCCAAAACGAGGATATGCATTTCGTTTTTTTTTTATCAAGTTATCCGTCACTCGAGCTCATCCATCTTTTCCGCATGTCTTGTGGCTGAGTGCAGTGAGTAACTATTGTCTTTGTGCGCAGGACAGCGCCGTCAATCCACCCACCTACTCGTCCCCACCACGTGAAGACTCCACGCTGTTGACACTAATTGCCGGCCCGTGATGGATGGGAGCGACGCCACTGGCATCTGGCTGGCAGCAGGGCGTCTCATGCCAACAAGTAATTAAGACTGAGGACTTGGTGAAGTAGGAGGAGGAGGGAGGAGGAGGAGGAGGAGAGGGGCATGAGGTTCAAATTCTGGAGCACTCAGAAGGAAATGTCCCCTTATTTTCTGTGTAACGCAAGAATTGAAAATGTGCAGCTTGGCCACATCAAGAGGCTTGTGGTTTAGCCTGCACGGTAATTTTCAGTGAGGCGGGGGTGCCCGCAGCATTTAAGAATGCCGAAATAATTGTTTTCGACGTGGACTGTCGAAAGGAGAACGCTTTCTTGTCTCTTATTCGTTTGCAAAATAGGCCCAGTCCACTAAGGCTGTTCAATAATACGCACATTTTCCCAGCGTATCAACCCTTATACGATGCTGCGGTGAAGTAAGGGGCCATCCATTTAGCACGTACGCATGGAGGGGGGAGGGGGGGTTAACCCAAATGCGTACGCTTGCGAATGGGGGGGACTACTGACAATGTACGTACGCATAAGAAACGGGGGTGGGGGGTGGGGGGGGGTGAAGCCTCGATCATAATTTGTCTACATTGGCCTTCAGATGAGTTAGATAGTCCGGCGATGGACTATCTGTTTGCTTAAACACGTTAATATGATTAATCCTTGATCGTTTCTGCGTGGATTAAATATCGGCCGTTCTATAGGATTCTCGGGGGGGGGGGGGGGTGGGGGTGGGGGGGGTGCGTCAGGCGAACGTACGCAGGTGGGGGGGGGGGGGGGTAAAAGGTACGCGTGCGTACAGGGAGGGGGGGACGGGTCAAGTTTCGACAGATTTTTGCGCACCTACTCAATGGATGGCCCCTAACGGTTAGTGCGCTGGGCTTGCAATCCAGCGGTCGGCGGTTCCATCAGATTCCCCGGGGTGGCAGTTGAAACGATGGGGGCAAGTTTCTCAAATCCCCCCTACGCATCTTCTCTCCCCAGCTGCTTGCAGGTCGATCGGCAGGTGGGGAGAGAAATAGTTCACTACTAAAGTAGTAGTGAACTATTTGTCTTTTGTCAACGTGACACTTATTTGCTGATTGGCCGTGTCGGATGGTGGAGGGTTACGACACATTTATAAATAACGCGATCTAACCCAAAAAACATTTATTATTATGTGTCATGGGTGCTTTGGCACAACAGCCAGCAAATCTCAGTCATTTATATATGCATTGTTTTTCTTTAAACAATTGAATAATTCTAAATGCACGCTCGTTGCCACGGCACATGGTCCAGAAACGTGGACATTAACGAAGCAAATGGAGCCAAAACTCAAAAGTGTGCATCAGAGAAGCGTGGTGAGATGGCTCGCTTGGAATTACATTGGGAGACTGAAAGAGGAGCACGTGCTTTAGACAACTTAAACACGCGTCTTCTTCACGACGCAATTTTGACTTCACATAATTAAGTGGGCTTTGGGAGCACACATTGCTGAAAGGTTTGACGGCCAGTGGTCCACAATAGCAATGGAAGAGCAGCCGAATGAGGAAATTAATCCGAAAGTAATCTACCGCAGAGCTTGAACACGTACAATCATTCTCTGTGCACGTGTTGGATTATTTTTTTCTGATTGTTTTTTTATTACTTACAACTTCAACACGAGCATGGTACAAAGCGCCGATCACCGAACGGAAGGAGAGGGGGGGGGACAGAAATTTTGCGAATGGCAGCAACCCCTCGACAGATCCCAATGAATTGGAATGATAATATTTACACTGGAGGAATCCGATGAGCTATGAAGCTCTTTTTTTCCACAGATTTCCTCCAGCATTTCACAGATTTTCCAGCAGTAGCGAAGGGGGGGGGGGGTGGGGGTGGGAGCTCGCTGACCCACCCAGGTGGGAACCACGAGCAGGGGGGTTGGGGGGGGATGGGACGTGAAAGTTTTTCAGGTGAACGGAAAATGATAATGGGGGGAAAGATATCGAACAAACTGGGGGGGGGGGGGGGGGGGGGGTGGGGGTGGAGAAGTAAGGGGCCATGGTGGGTGGAGGGCGTAGGAGGGAAATGGGGCAGGGGTGGAGGACAGGTGTTGGATTGTAACTCGGCGGCGGGACCCTGGCAGATCCAGTCGAGGGCCTCACCTCATGCTCGCCGTGCAGCCTCACGTTGAACACCGCCGTGCGCGAGTGCGTCGCAGTCGCGGTGCGGCTCGGTCCGGGCGACCGGCGGCTGGGCAGGAAGCACTGCCTGAGGAGGGGCTGGCACTGCGACTGCGACGCGATGCGGATCTTCGTCGCGGCCACTCCGTCCAGGTGAGACGGGACCTGCGCCGCCAGCGACCGCCGTTGTTATTCGAGCGGGCCAGCGTCGATTATGTTAGAGGAGGTCTGGTGGAGGGGGGTGGAGGGGAATGGTAGGCTGCGGCCAACTCTGCCGTCAGTACTGCGAAGCGAGCAAATGCAATTATTGTATTGCGTTGCAAATCAATAACGTGAAGTGTCTATCGTCGGTAAGCTTTGCGCGCGTTGACTTTGGGAGTGCTGTGTACGGAGCAACGCCAGATTTGCATCGCTTCTGTTGAAGGGTAAGGCTATGGAGACGCATTTCTAGGCTCATACGCACTGACATCAAAATAAATGTTACAAATCTTTTAAGATTGATCTAAATCCATCACCGCTATCCAGTTAATGACCTTTTGCTAAGTTTAATCTTGATGAATATAATATAAAATGAAGATTAATCTGCTCAGCGAAATCAAACGTTAATTCTGTACAATTTTAGGCGCTCAGATTAAATTTTGGAAATGTTTCCGATTTCTCCTTTGAAACGCACAGGTTAGGTAATGAATCATACATCTTAAAAATACAATATGCAATAATTAATTACGACCAAATATTTAGGTGTTACTGAAAAACTGTTACTTGACAAAACAAAATTTGCCTTTGCTGGAAATAAAATAATGAGCATTTAAGCGACTATAAACACACATTGTCATCAAACTTTCGTCTTGTGACAATGCATGAAGTAATTAAGCAAAGCTGCTTAGATTTAGTACATTTCCTTCCTTTATATCGTACAATTGAAACGGTAAATTTGCTTTCAGAAAATTCCCCGAATTAATAATAAAAAAAGAAATCATCCCTGAAACCTTTAGACCGTTTTCAGAATACAAAGCTAAACATTTCATAACGGCAACTTTAAAACAAGCGACTGAGGCAAAACACAAGTTGGAGGACTCACATGATAAGCAGTGCACTGCAGCAGTGTTGGAATTGTGTTCCACATTGTTGGCACTATCTCGTTTTCAAATCACTTTCTAATACACTGCACACTTTGCCCCGAGACTAACGGTGTTATCACCAGAGACAAAACAAAATTCGACAATTTAAAATAGAATTAACGAATCTAGAATTCCGTTGCGGATAACAAATTGAGTTTCATTGTCACGTATTTGTTGTTGTTGTTGTTATTGCATAGACAGCACCCATTTGCCGGTGGTTATAAATACACACAAACGTGCCGCGGGGATCCCATTGGTTCAAGCTGTCCACGAATCAGCACCAAGTTTGCCGATACGCATGCACGACAATTTCAAATCTTTTTCAAATCCCCCCGGGCGCTTTAAAAGGAGACAGAAGTTGCTGTGCTTGATATGCATAACACTCCTGCTTTTGTTCTGCCCTCCATTTGGTTCCACGCTTTGTGTGTGCAGGCGTGCGTGTCTTTGTTTTGTAATACATCTAAAAACAGAATTATAAACAACTCCGATGAGAATAGATTGTAGAATGCAATGTAATTACGCTTTTCAATAATGAAAACGCGGTTGTGTAGGAATGTTTTCCAACCTGTTGTTGGACAGGCATCAGAACTCAGTTAAACAAATACAGGCACACGATGCACACACGTGCAATGATAATTGGCACTGATCTTATGCAAAATAGTATACAATTATGTTCTGCCCATGTACTTGAGTGTCATTTTCCCTCAGCTTACACCTTTTAGAATAAATATGTCTCTTATGATTTGGGATTGAAATAAAAATTGTGCTGATGGCGTGATGTGATGGAATCTATATATATATGACTTGTATTAAGTGTCTAAAACACAGCCAGAACAATCCCCGTTCACAATAACCACGTATTTTTTCAACACAGACTCGATTCCTATTGCATTTATTTGGGTCCCATATATATTTTTTTCAAATGCCTTTGCCAGTGAAATCCGCCAATCTAGTATCATTTGTTTAACAAAAGGGGCTGATCATGCTCGATGAGACATAGAAGGTCAACACCGGTCCAGCTGTTTATTTCTTAAACAAATGCTGCTTCATGAATATCGCCAATAGACAGATAGAGCCAATAGACCGATGTGCTGAAACGTATATATATCTATAAATGTGTTTAATGTAGTGACTTAGAATGGAGTTTTCTACTCGTGCAGTATTTACTTGTCGGGGGGAACAAAATGTTGCTTCGCAAAAGCGAAGGCAGTCGTGTTAAAAGGACCTATTGTGCGTGTTTGCGACCATGCCATAGCTTCCCCCCCCCTCCCTGTCCATTAGCGCCCTTATGACCGAGTTTATAACCCGCACAGATGCACATGATGGGATGCCCCAGGTACAAAAAAAATAGAGGTGGGGGGGGGGGTGAGAACAACAATCAACGCACAATGGCCAGGCAACGTATTGCGGGTCCTTGTGGGCAGCTGATCCCAAGGGCGCTCTTCTTTTTCTTAATGGCACAACACATTCTTTTCAAGACCCCCCCCCTCCCCACGCCGCCGCCACGGTAGTGTGGAGAGTCAATAGCATCTGTGTCAGGCGACACCCCCGTCAAGGCTGAGAGCCAGTGACTGATTGCTGCCAATTAGCAGACTGCGTGTTCCTTCACATGACTGACCTGTCACATGCAACCAGCGAATGCCAGTGCATACACTGCGCTCAATTCATAGTGTCCGACGCACGTGTGGTGAATTTCCCCGTCCAAACCCAATCGCTCGACGGGGGGTGGGGTGGGGGGGGGGATCTAGCGATAAAGCTTTTAACATTGCGTAGTTTGAGTTTGTTTTTCAGCTTAACACGTAGGCTTTGGCGACCAATATCATCCATGGGAGAGGCGTTTGGGTTAGTTTATATTTTACGCGATCCCAAACAAAAAGCCTCTATTATGATTCGTCTGTTTTTAGCTTGCATTTCTTTTCTTTACCGATATGGTATTACAGTGCGCGCGCGTGTTTGTGTGTATCGATACAATACATCTAAATATATATCGGTGTTGAATTGGCAAAGGTGCACAATGACGAGGCAAAATCACTCGCCACGTTTGGCCTTGCCACCGCCTTCTCATAGCATGATTATCTGAAATGTAAGAGGCATGGTTATTATTTTTTTTGTAATCGTTTGAAGAACACAATTGGAAAGCAGAGCAGGATACAAATATCTATTTTTACTTTGGGCAGTTATTGATGACCGAATGGGATTACAATTATGAAGTGAATAGGTAAACAGAAAATATGATGGCTTACTTATTGTAAAAACAAAAAAACCATTAATTTATTGGTAACGTCACGTAGAAAATAAAATCAAATAATAATAGAATACGACGTTTCGGTTGCAACACCAGCAACCATCATCAGGTAAGAATGAATGATAAAACACAGACACGGGAACAACATAGGCAGATACACATGCAGAGAGAGACACACACAAAGACACCGAGCGAGGCACACATGTATATCTGCCCATGCTGTTCCCGTGTCTGTGTTTTATCATTCATTCTTACCTGATGATGGTTGCTTGTGTTGCAACCGAAACTACGCATTCTATTTTTATATTTGATTTTCTACGTGACTTTACCGAAAGAACCCAAGAGTAATTCCTGCAGTCACGAAAGCTTCGAATCTAGTTTGATTAATTTATTGATGAAAATCAGCATGGTAATTTGTCTCGTGAAAGTTTTTTAAATCAGTGCACATTGGCAGCTATGAGCTAGGTATCGGAAACATGAACACGGACAAAGAAAAATAAATCGAAGTTCAAAATCATGAACAGAAGCGTGAAGATGGAGAGTTGGATGCTCGCAACTGCACAAAGAGACCGAAAGAGGAAAACGTGGTTCAGGGAGCGAGGATTAATTAACTAAACTTAATATTTACATTTCGATTTTAAGCTTTCGTGACTACAGGGATTCATATTATTGGTTCTTTCGGTAAAGTCAGGTAGAAGGGAAATAAAAAATAAAAAAATAAAAAAATTCACGACGTTTCGATTGCAACACAAGCAATCATCATCAGGTGTGAAAACCACAGCAAGACATTTTTTCCTTGCTGATGACGATTGCTTGTGTTGCAATCGAAACGTCGTGAGAATTTAATTGATTTATTTTTATTATTTTTTATTTCCCTTCTACGTAACTTTACCGAATGAACCAAGAATATTAATGTTTACCTTTAAGGAAGAGTTAGCCAGAACATGCCCGCGAGACTGACCTCCGGGAAAATGGAGCAATGAGATATGTTCACGTGCAAGCTACGTGCATGTGCAAGGGTGAGATGGACTGTGGTGTTGCAGGATGAAGGGGGACAGCGATGGTATGTGGAGACCCTCGTGCAGCAGTAGATCGACCATGGCTACTGATGACGATATAAGGGAAATGTGTATCTCTGACAATGACTCCTCTTCTTGGTGGAGAGAGACAGCGGGATGGTGGACTTTTTTTATTGATTTTCTATAAATCAGTATGCTTTCTCTGCTGTGAAATAGGACTACTGTTCGTAACGATCGACTCATATAGATTATCTCTTAAGGAAGGGTTGATGACTAATATGCTGTGCCTTCATGATCTGTGTCTATGAACGGCCGTTCTACACTTTCCTTGTGTTGATAAGATGAATTTGTACAACGATAAGTAAATCCTCGCCATGAAAGAAAATTGTAAGAAATATGAGGTCAGAAATCAAAACATTTATAGTGGCAGAGTAAGGAAACAACATTTGCAATACTCTTTGGGTCTTTAGGTAAAATCACGTAGACAGAAAAATAATTTTAAAAAATCACGACGTTTCCATCCTACCTGCTGATGTTAGCAGTTATTTCCGACTCTCTGGGTTGCATTCCTCGATACAACGGTCATCTCTCACAAATACAACGGCCATCCCAACAGCTTTGGGGTGCCCTCGATCTTCCTTCTCTAACCCCGCCCACTTTACCTTGGCCTGCGCCCATTTCAGGCCTCGATGTGGCGGTGGCTACATTGACATGCTAATCTCTCACGAATACAACGGCCATCCCAACAGCTTTGGGGTGCCCTCGATCTTCCTTCTCTAA